CCCTCCCTCCGCCTCCATCCTCTCCGTCTCCTCCCGCACAGGTGGGACTCCTCTCCTCGCCGGCCCTGCCGCGATGCTGCCGCCGTGTGCCCGCGGGGCCCTGCCCGGAGTCTCCTTCCTCCTCCTCCTCCTCCTCCTCGTCCCGCTGCTGTGCGCGGCCCCCGGTGAGTGAGTGCGGGATGCGGGACACGGGGCGAGCACAGCCCGGCCCGGCCCGGCCAGCGGCGATGAACCTTCCCCGGCATCCCGCAGCCTTCGGACGCCCCAAACCTTGAGCAAGTCGGGCATGTCTCTTGAAAGGTGCTTGTTTGCCAGTGACTGAAGCATTTGGGAACAGCCGAGCGCTTGCAGGTCTCCCTTTGCACTGCCGGTCGGGGGATCAGCGGGATCTGCTCGGTGTGCTTTGGGGCAGGATGCCAGGCACGACTCTGGAGCGGTCTGATTGTTAGCACAGCCTTCACCCAGTGGCCAGGGGCTTTCAGCATTGTCATGCTGTTCTGGGTGCTGGTACCGGCACCAGCTGCAGTTTTCTGGTGAAAAATATAATGATTTACTCGGTGAAGAAGGCCAGCTTAGGGTTTCCCTTGCCAAGAGAGCTGGGGAGAGGATGCTGGAGTGTCAGAATCTTCCCTGCAGTGTATATGGTGCTCAAGTGTGGAAAGGGGAGCAAAGACAGCAAGTTTCTCTTGGGAGAAAATTGTCTGCTTTGCCTGTTGAACTGGAGCTATGACAAAAATACTTCTGGCAGTTTTTGAGAAAAAGTCTTTTTTTGTTGTTGTTGGTGGTGGTGTTATTTCCTTCTCAGTAAATGTATCTGTTTTATTTTTATTTGTCTAGATGTTTCAAGGGGAAATAAGCTTAAACTGATGCTTCAGAAACGAGAAAGTAAGTAAAGAAACAGCAAAGTGCTTTGATTTCCCTTGGAGCTGGATGCTGCCAGCAGAAGCTGCTGCTGAGCTGTCCCTGTACCTCCAGCTCCAGGAGCACAGACGGAGCAGGAGGCTGCAAACACAGGGCCACGCTCACCACGGGCCACACCAAACCTGCTGTGTGCCTGTTGGGGCTGTTGGGCTGGAGGCTCTGCTTGCCACAGCTCCCTCTGGCATCCGGGGTTCCCAGGCTTGGCAGCACACCTGCCTTTTGCTCTGCACAGAGCACAGCACCAACCTTTTCCAGTGCTTGCATGGCAGACGTGGCATTTATCTGGTTCGTTTGGGGAAGTCACAAACTTTTCCAAGGAATTGTAATGCATGGAAATACTGCTGGCTCAGGCACAGGGAAGAATATGTGCAAACCCAGCTTTCCTATGATGCCTTGACTTGTTCTTTTGGTCTTCTTGGCCCCACTAGTGCTTCTTTTTTGGAAGACTGCTCTCTTACAGGAGAGATGATGGCCAAGGGCCCAGCAGTCAGAAGCATGGAATGGCTCACTGGTTGAGGGAAGGTGGTGGAAACGATGCCAGCTGGGAACAAGCTGCACCACAGCAGACGAAACATCCCAGAAGTTTTGGCCAGCTCTCCTCAGCCAGCTCTATGGCTGAAGCAAAGAATTTATACCCCCACAGAGGGGACTCCCACTTTCTGCCAGGCTTTCTAATTTCATACTGGTTTTTTTTTTCTGGCATCACTCCACACCTCTTACCAGAACTAAAATATATATCCCACTGTCGCTATCCAGCTCCCTACCACCTCTGTTTTCCTCGTGTGTGGGTTCCTTGCATCACCATTCTGCAGCGCTTGTGTGACGGTAGGAGCGACCTTCCTGCACCACAGCAGCGGTGTTTGTTCAGGTCCCCTGGGGAGAGGGACTGCCTGGGGAGGGCTCTTGGGGCATGAAGACAACATGGCTTAGATCAGGAAGAACTGAAGAACTGATGATGGAGGGAATATGCAGTCTCTTTAATTCCAACCTTGCTCCCCTTTCCTGGCTGGTTTCTAAAGTGAGCAGGCCAAGCACACAGTTCTGCTTCCCTTGCTGGCAGTGTCCCTTGTGTGAGGGCTCATTCATGGGACATTTGCTCAGCTATCCCTCTTCTCAGTAATAACACCCAGTTCAAGCTCACAGTGTGTAATCAGTTTCCAGCTCATCACTGCAGAACAGCCTACTGTTTCCCACTTACTACAACTCATCTATCACTTTTATCTTCAGAATCTCCTTCTCTCTGCAGTCCTTTGCCTTTCTCTGTGAGTCTGCCCAGCTCCTACTTCAGTGGTTTTCACATCTCCACTTGACTTCCCTGTCTACCCCAGTCTCTCCCCTCACATCCTCCAAAAATCCCACCCGTGTTCCTGATTTCTCCCTCATTGAAATGAACCATCTGAAGGCAGGACTTCTCCTACTCCTACAGACTTCTTGTTTCACAGCCAGATCAATAACGTGTTTTATCATTTCCACGTGTGGCCAGGGGCTGGACAGTCACAGAATCATAGAACTGTTAGATTAGAAAAGATCTCTAAGTTTAAATCCAACTATTTACCCAGCAGAGACACTGTCACCACTAAACCATGTCTCCAAGTGCCACATCTGTTTTTTTGGACTTCCAGGGATGGCAATTCCCACCACTTCCCTAGACAGCTTGTTCCAAAGCTTGACCACTCTTTAAGTGAAGGAATTTTTCCCAACATCCAATCTTACATGGCACAACTTGAGGGCATTTCTTCTCATCCTGTGTAGTCCTCTCATCCATGTCTTTGGGAGGTGCATCAGTTCCTCTAGCAGCCCCAGCAAGCTGCTCTTAGGCATGGAGCAAGCCAGATGGCTCATCTGGCTCTGGCAGGTTGAGGGCAACCTACATGAGGGAGGCATTTCCATGCATCCCTCATGTAGGTTGCTATGAAAACCTGATGGGCTTTTATTTTCAGGCATACAGGGCATTTAGTAGTGCTCATCTAAATACTACTTTTTACACATCAGTTCAAAAATCAATCCTTTTAGGTGTTTCTCCCTTCACTCTAATATGTTAGCAGTGTTTTGCCAGCTTCCTCAGTCTTTTTAACTTCACCTCTCTTCTTCAACCCAATTTCTGCAATCATAGCACTTAGGGCCAGTCTCCTGTTCTCCCCTGAAAGCACAAACACATAGTGCATATGCTCCTTGAGTCTGGGTGTTTTTATCCAAATTCCTCAGTTAGCTGCTCTACTTGAGCTCAGAAATGATTTTCAAGAATCCAGGAGAATGAGGGTAGCAGAGAAATCCTATTACATCGGTGATTCCTGGGTTTATTACTGCTACTCTGCTACAGGCATTGCACTGGCAAGCACAAAGGTAATGGCACGATGTGAGAATCGTTTTCTTACTTGCTGCAAGTAGTACTCTTCAGGCTGACTAAAAATTTCCTGGCATGCCTTTTGTGGGGGGAATTAATTTCAGCCTCTGCTGCTGTGAAGCCTGAGGTGTCAGTGAAAGAAAGAGCAGCCAAGGAATTCCTGAGCAGCCTGAGACGCCAGAGGCGCCAGCTGTGGGACAGGAGCCAGCCCGACGTGCAGCAGTGGTACCAGCAGTTCCTGTACCTGGGCTTCGACGAGCAGGTGAGTGCAAGAAATGGAGAGGGCTTATGAAACAGAGGGAGAATACACAGGGATAGAACAAGGTTAATGGGGTTTAAATGAAAAAAAAAATAAAAATATATTTGGATTATTAGGAATATTAGGAAGAAATAGATAAAATATTAATAAGTAATTCTTTACTGTGAGGGTGGTGAGGCCCTGGAACAAGTTGCCCACAGAAATGGCTGATGCCCCATTCCTCTAAGTGTTGAAGGCCAGGTTTGACAGGATCTAGTAGTGTTCCTGCCCAGATTTCTTTGAAGAGGCAAATGTCACACAGAAATATAACCTCTGTTACATGTTAAGAGATTTTTGCATTATTTTATTAATAGAAAAAAATTACATTAAGGTTTTCTATGGAGTTCTTGCCTGCTATCAAACTTAAGCTTAATAAATTGTAACTGGACATATGAACAAAGTTTGCTTTGTGGAAGAGGTTTCCAGACTCAAAGCAATCAATTGTATTTCAGGAAAGAAATTTGTCAGCCTCAATCTAATCAGTTTTTAAACATGCTGAGAAATTCACACCAAGCTGGCTGTGATTGGCACTGGCATTATGCACCCAATGCACACTTGTGCCTCCACAGTGTGGGAAGCTCCTGACCATCATGAACACTGGCAGCTGTGCCTCCACTCTATATGTGAAAGGAAAACCACTGGATAATATTCAGTCAGCCTCCCTTCAAATGAGGACACATTTTTAAAAACATTTTATTTGTAAAAACACTGGAGTGGAATCAAACTGCACAAAACTCCCCTAAATAGATGCTGGAATAGGGCAAAAAAGTGTGTTTGGTTGCAGTCCCACATGTAGAATCATTTTTGGTTTTAATAAGAGGTAAAAATAGTTATAGATGCTGAATTCTTGGCCTCTGTCAGCTGTATGAATATGTTTAATGAGATTGCATTGGCACAGGCAAGAAAGCTTCATGCTATGTGGATTGCTTGGAAGATGAATGCCCTCATTTTCAAAACTGCAACAATTAGAAAAATAATCCTTTGCTTGAGCTGAAATAATAAAGGGTACTTTTTTCTAAATTCTCCTGGATATTGTATGGATAAAAGTAACTCCTCAACAGCATGGCTACATCCCCCTTCACTAATAGGAAAAGGAAAAATAGGACAAATGGTTTTATACATCAGAAACTGAAGACTGGGTGAAAATACCAAAAGGAACAAGGACAAACCATGCAGATAAAGTGAATTCTCCTCTGAGTTCCTGTATGCATTTCAAAAACTGAAATGAGGCCTGTTGTAGGATACAATGGATCTACTTAGTAGGTTTTCTTGAGTATTAAGACAGTCTTAACAATGAAATAACTGTTCCAGCAAAGGACTAAAGGACTTGGTCCATAACTATCAATTGAGTATTTGCAAAACTTTTTCTTTTCTTTTTTTCTCCCAAATCTCAGCCAAAAATATTTCCAAAGAGTCATTCAGATGGAAAGGCTCTGGCTTGGCAAGTATTTTGTATCCTTGCACACTATATTTCCTCTGCTGTTGTGAGCAGAACTGAAGAGCTAATTGCATTTCCGTAGCTGGAAGGCTGCATTGTACCTTTGTTTTCACCCGTGAAAGGTGGGAGTGAGAGATCAGAGACAGAAATCAAAAAAGCCTGTTGCACCTCAGTCAGGGACATTGCAAATAAGGGCACATGGCAAGGGAAAACTAAACCTTTAACTGTAAAATATTGACATGATTTTACAGTCCACCATTGACAAGGTAATCAAAATATTAAAGGTGCTTAGTGCACACACATTTCAGATGAAGGCACTCTCAGATTAAGCACTTTGCAGTGGGCAGGGGGTGTGGGGCTGGGCAGGACAATTCCTGCACACAGAATCCTGATAATCCCATAGAGAAGGTGGGTACAAGTCACAAAGCCCCTTGGATCTAAAGATTTCATTTATGACAAATGTACAAGGCATCCGAATTTCTGAAAGAGGCTTGCACCACTTCTGTTTCATCTCATCACTGTAGTTTCAGGCTGGAAAGCAAATGCTTTCTTTTTTTTTTTTTCTGGCAGAAATTTGAAGATGACATCTCCTACTGGACAAACTTGGGGCGTGCTCGTAATGAATACTACGGTGGGTACTACCAGCACCACTACGACGAAGATTCTCCCATTGGCCCACGAAACCCACACAGCTTCAGGCACGGAGCAGGCGTCAACTACGACGATTACTAATGCCATTTATCCTGCTCTAGCCTGTAGGGCTGCACTGGGTGAGGCTGAGCCCTCCCTCAGCCCGAATGACCCCGCTTTTCCCCTCTATTCATGTCAAACAGCAAGAGTAAAGGAACTGCCTGACTTGGGTGAAAGTACTATCATTACTTAGTAGTACACTATATATATAAAGTGTTATAGAAATAAAGCTTTTTTGATAACCAGGTTGCCATTATTTAGTAGACTTCATAACAGAAAGTTTAATTCCAACTGTATTACTACAGATCCCTTTTAAAATGGCGTTTTCATTTGCTGTCCTACAATCAATTGCAAAACTACATTATATCATCTACTTTGGCATATAGAATACATAATATAAGCCAGTACTTTTAAGATGTGCCTGCCCATTCACATTTCTATTAACAAATAAATCAAATTATTCTTGGGAGAAAAGTAAAAAAAAGGTTTCCTGTCAATTGAAGTTCTGCCTTGTTGCCTCCTCTGCCATTTCCATACCTACAGCGTGCAGCGCTCCAAGCCTGACATGGCACTTCTGCAGCTCCTGTTGGGTCAAGGACACAGATATTCACAAAAGCTAAATTCAGTGCAGATGAGCTTGCCTACCTACAAAGTCTGTGCAAAGATCCTCCAGGGAACGGAGGCTCAAGGCAGGAACTTGACTTCAGCAGTAATTGCTGAGGCGCAGAGCATCCAACCTGAGAGGCCCCAACCCCTCCCAGGCACGATAACCCAAAGGTTATCTTTGCTGAATACTCCCCTTTGTGTCCGTTCCACTTAGCGTCAAGCTTTCAGCCTAGCTCAAAACAGGGAATAAAACAACAAAGTAAGCTATTTAAAATTAAGTTAGTGTCAGATAGCATCCAACACAATTCCCTGACATCGTAATTTCCTTCTGCAAAATTCCCTCTATGCCAATTCAGACTGAAACACGCACGTCAGGCTGAGCATCAAAATACATCAGAAACTGGGCATCTGTTAGTGAAACACAGTGGATTAAAGGGGAATTGTTGGTGGCATTATGTATGTTAAGAATCCCAAAACACAACCAATTTTTGTATCACAGCAACATCAGCCTGGGAGGGAGATTTCAGCCGTCAGGGGCTTCAGGAGGAGCTGGGCAGAGGAAAGCACTGCTGGCACTTGACAAATGTAGTGGACTGGGAAGGTGAGGAATGCTGGGTGCTCCAGGACTTCTGGAACTGAAGAATCAGGAAAAAGAGAGATTAAATATGTTCTACCAACTGTAGCAGTTAGAGAAGACAGCATGGATGCTTTAGCAGTCTCATCTAGAGCATACAAGAAATTTCCAAAGCATGGATCATAGCAACACCATTTCTTACACTTCACTTCTTTCTTAACTCTATTTCCTAATCTTTTGCTTAAAGCCCTTGCAGTGGGATGGACTGGTGTCTAGGAGACGTAGCCTAGCACTACACAGCTCCCTGCAGGAACACTTCCCTTTGCTGAGGGAGCCAAGCTGAATGAACTTGCTGATCACTTCTCTGCACACACAGATCCACACTAGCCTAACATGCTCCAAACCCTCAGCCATCCTTAGGCTTAATCTCACAGAATCCTTGCCAGTTTGACTGGTTTAAACTGGTGTGTTTCCTTAGTAGAAGAGCTTTTATTCCAAATACAGAATAATCACATTCTGAGTCAAGGATGGACTCTTTTGCAGAGTTGGAAAACACCTCTTCCTAAAAGAATACTTCCATTTTGTGTATTATCCAAAAAGTGTACTGAATTTGGCAACATTTGAACCATGCTGGTAATTTTCATCATTTCCCAGAATTTACAACTGGGAATTCAGACCAGCTGAATAAGGAAGAATAAGACAAGTGCTGTAAATAAAGACCATCCCTCCCTAGGCCTTTGTAAACTCTGTCCATTCCTGCAGGCTGACTCAGTCTAACAGCTCTCTGTGCCTCGCAGGCTCACACCCAAATCTACAGTCTCTGTCTCCTGAACCCTCTAAGAGGAAAAAAAAAATCTTTTCCATTATATTGTGTTGCAGGGTTAAGGAGTGGGACAGAGTTAACTTTACATAACAACACATATGATAACACATTTTAGGTTTGTGACTAAACCAACGCAGGCAGAACACAAATGTTTTTGCTTTGGGTGAAGAGTGCCCGCACAGCCCGTTTTCCACACTGTCCCCCAGCAGGCAGGCTAGGAGCGGGTGAGAGGCTGGGAGGGCACATGGGAGAGAGAGCTGACCCAAACTGGACAATTCCAAATGATGTAAGGACTTGCTCAACACTAAAAGCTAGTAAGAAAAGTGTGAGGGCTTTGCCTTCCAGGGAAGCCATTTCTCAGAGACTGGGTGAGCACCAGGCTTGCTTGGGGGAGATGGTGAGTGGCCTTTGCATCACGTGGGTTTTCTTCTTTACTTCACTCATTAAACTGCTCCTACCTCAGCCCTCAAGAGTACTCATCCTGATTGTCTAATTCTCTCCCATTGGGGGAGGAGGAAGGGAGTGGCTGTGAGGGCACTTTTCTGCAGGCTGGGGTCACTCACCACAAGGCAAAGCTCTGAGGTGAGGACAACCTCCTTCTTCCAGAGGAATGCCACATGCCTTGCTGTGCAGCAGTTGCAATGATGGGAAGCAAGCAAGGAAGAGCCATCAGACTTGGGCAAAAGGAGGATAATTTACTGGGGCAAAAAAAAATATCAGATATGCATGGAATGCTTCAAAGTTTATTTTCCTTGGACTATTTCTGTCCCAAAACATAGAACTGTCTATCTCCTCTCAGTCTTTCCAGTCTGCTGTGCAGACAGCACAGAGCACATCACCACCACCCTCAGCCATCCCAGCACTGACATAATGTAACCTCTCCAGCAAGACAGAAGAGCAGCGATTGTTCATTGTGGCACCCTTCTGAGCAGGAACAGCTTGGCCATACTCCAGTGCTTCATGTTTCAAAGCCTGATGCTGCAACATCCCTGAGTTTGTCGGTGTCAGCCAGGCAGATCCATCAGACTTGCAGGGCAAAGCTGCCTCCTTTGCTGGTAACACCTGCCAGCAAATCCTTCTGCCAAAGAATGGAAGTATTACTGCTGTGTCTTTTTTGTTTGTTTTTGTTTTTTGGAGGACAGGTCATCATTCCCTCCAAGTTCCTACTTGTGACACAAACATGTTGAGGATGGGAGATTGAGCACTTCCATCCCAGGACTGTTTCCCAGGTGGAAGATGTAGCCTCCTTGCTTAAAACAGCTTTCTCTGCAGTGGGGTGGACAGAGCCCAGATTGCTGTGTGTGGCTTTGACAGCACTTAAAGCCACTGTTCCCTGTGGCTTTGTGCTTTGGACCTTCCAGCTCTTCCAGCTATGGTATGATATGGACCAGAGCATTCAGAGGATCCTGTTCCTTGCTGAAGAGCATGTCAGCATCTATGGAAAACACTGCAAGAATAAACAAGCTGGTGCTTGTTTCAGGCTGCAAATGGCAACAAACCAAGATGGAAAAAGACTTGTCAGATCTGCTATTATGAAATAAGCAAGTGGGAGAAGGACTGAGACAAGGAACAGAGAATCAAAATCTGTTGGTTTTTTTGTGAGAAATATGAATTGTTATTTTAGCAAAGCCTCCCTGTTGATACAGAATTGCACTCAGGAGCCTCCTGCCACAACAGGAGCTCTGCTTTGCTTCAGAACTATTGCTGCTCTTCATGTTAGCTCTAAGGAGTCAAGAGATGCAAAAACAGCATTCCCTTCTGCCATCTGAAATCCCCACAACAGAGGAGCTATGGATTTGTGGCAGCAACATTCCCAGAAACTTCAGGGAAGGGATGTATGGTAGTTAGGGCTAGCAGTGTTGAGCATACAGCTCCCCTTGCTGTTAATAAAGCATCTTCTTCCTGTAGACCAGCCCCTGAGGAGCCCCTAACAACCCTCAGAGACTTCTGGCCTCAAATAGCACTAAACTCAGTACTAGCAGGGCTGGGGCCTGGTTTAATCCATCAAACTAATCAAAGCCTTGTTTTGCCCTTTGTAGCCTGTTCTCTAAGGCAATCATGCCTCTTCCAACTTTGAAATTCCATTCAAACCCTGACAAAAAGTGAAGCTTTTTTTCCCAATGTATTATGTTTCTAATAATTTATTGGAAAAAAAATAGATTAAGACACATTAATACCCAGATGGCAGTGAACTCACTGGCTACTAAGCCCACCAGAATCTATACAGGTTAAGAGAAGCTGCAAACATCTTAGACACAGAAACTACCAGATCATTATTTCCCCATATAGCAGAAAGTTAGGCATGAGGCTTCTCTAGACTACATATTCATGGAACTAGTTAAAATAAATGAGGCCTGCAAGCCCCTCTGCAGCTTGTCTGTAGACTAGCAACGTGGCTGACAATGCTCCTTAGCAGCAGATTAAGTAGAGAAACAAAGGAAAAGCACATCATGTTTGAAATAAAACATTAAAATCCCAGTGTGGCTCTCATGCTGTAGTAACCTCCAGCTGCAGGAGTGGTCCTCCTTGTGAGGATCAAATGATGCACAGGTGCCTTACACACCTTTCTTTCTGGAAATCTGGTCTCACTCTGCAGCATCAAGCTGGCCAGTTCCCTCTGCTGCACTGTGTATTTCCTACTGAGAGTGAGGACTTGCACCCAGCACCAGCTGAGCTGCCCATTTGTACAGATCACTGTGAGTAAACAGGCACCTCAAGTTTGGCCATGCTAGTTTTACCTTGTCTGCCTGACCAGATGACAGCAGAAAATTCCAATTCTTAGAATTTTGTAGGGGAAAAAGAACATCCCGAGAGCATGTCTCAGCATTCACCCCCCAAATCCTCTATTAGCAAGCTTTCAGTGCTGTATTCCACTACCCTCCATCAAAAGTGGCTCTTCTGGAGAAGCAGCAGCTCTTTCTTTCCTGTGGTTCCCAGCACACTTGATGGCTCCTCCTGCTGAGATGTCTAACCCCAGACAGGAGTAGAGCACCAACATGTGAACCTCTATCCACTTTCTTGAAGACTCAGCTCAGACCAGATAACTTCAAAGAACCCTTCAGAGACCCTTTCAGTCTCAAGCATCAGCAGACTCAACATGATTCATGCTTTTCAAATCAGCCCCATGGTCAGTCACTGGCTTCAAAACCTAAGGGCAACAGCTGCCTCAGCTCCGGCTGCTGGAGAACACTATTGAAAAAGAATATGGGAGCTGAATCAGGAACCTCTGAAACAAAAACCAGGAACAGTATGAGGAAAGTAGCCAGTCCAGCGTCTTGTAGTTCGGGCCCAGTGGGAGGCATCACACACACTCACAGATGGGTTGTACTGCTACCATCCACTTGCCCTCTCCTCAATTTCCTCCTTTTACGAAGGAAGTCAGGCTGTGAAATAACCTAAAGAGCTTTTACATACTTCTCTCTTGTGTCTAAAGGTTTGGACTTCCTGGGGGATTATTTTTTTTTGAACATACACATTTTGTGCTAGTCTGTAGTAGCATGCTTGTGCCTGTACAAATTCACGTACTTTCTACTAAGGTCATTGGGTTAAATAAAAAACTGCCCTGGGAGTAACAGCTGGTAGCCAGAGCTCAAACTTACTCTCCATGGCTGTGCTGAATGTTGGACCAGGGTTGCACCCATGCCCCATCTCTTCATAGACATTGGCATTCAGTGGCACAACTTGCCCGGGGAGGGAAACCTAAGGAGAAGGAGCATCATCCTCCAAATATAATCTCCATCTTGAGTGTTTTAAGGGTTAAAACCACCATGCTGAGAGCTGATTAACAGTTCTCTCCAAAGAACTATTGAAGAAGTAGGCACTACTTTCACACATGTCCAGCTGTGGCTTTGAGTCCAGGGAGAGGCTGTGCTTTGTGAGTGTTTCAGTAATGACAGGTTACAGGCACATTTGGAGCACACCATGGTGTACTTTTCAGGCAATTTAGTACGGAATAAATGCCCAGATCAAGGACCTAGAAAAAGGCTTCATACAAAAAAAAAGCAGATCTCAAGCTGCTCAGCTGTGAAAAGATGAAGGTAATGTATAATATCTAAATTCCACCTCTGAATCCAGAAAGGAAAGTGCACCCTGGCTCCCCATCTCAGCTGTATGGCAGATTTCCAATGGGAGAACACGTGCACTTGTGCACAAGGAAAAACCCATTAGTCCTAAAAAGGTCCCTGCAGCCCCACTCCAGGCAGGGCACAGCAGTGAATGCAGCAACCCCACCAGACAGACTGGACAGGACTCCAAACCACACAAGCACCGTGGGGCTCTGGCAGACAGCTCAGACAGAGGAGCCTAAATGCCACACTGCTTTCAGAGTCTTCCCAGGGCTGGGCATAACATCACTGCTACTGGTAACTCCCAATTTACCACCAAGATACTCAAAAGCTAATAAAAATATCAAGCTTTAATGAGATAAAGTCAAGTCACTTTGCTTGATGAGGTTTAGGATTTTCAATTTTGAGTGGCACTAAGCCAAAATACCTTTTAAATACCTTTTTAAAACTAGAAGAATTATTAAAAATAAGGGGAATTTGTTTGGTTTTGGTCTTCTTTTTTTGGTTTTATTTTTCCAAGACGACAGGCATAGTTACCAAAGTTGAAAGCATTTACTGGAAATGTAGCAACTGCTTAAAATAGGAAACACTTCCTCGGTATTTCCTCAGGAAGGCTGAAGTTAGGCTCCATGGTTTAAAGAAATATTATACTCCTGCATCACTATCAACTACCTGAATTGGAATAAATCAGGATGGTTTTGTCTGTCCTATTTCAACAGACATCCTGCATCCCTTACTATACATCTGTTAAAAGACAAGCAATGCAAGACCAAAGTTATTAACTTTGAGTGGATTATTTACAGACTGTTACTTTATAATTAATACACAATAAATCCACAGATGTGCAAATCCAGAGAAAAGCCCACAGTGAAACCTTGAAACTAGTAAACAGAAGTTTCAGTATTTTATTAAAATAGCATATTCAACCACTGTAACCAATAATACATTAACTTTATTCCCAGAGTATGCACAACACAGTAGTGATTCAAAATATCCTTATCCATGGTAATCAATGAAAATATCTCAAATTCAAGTGTACAACTAAAACTAAACCTTTAAAAAATCTCTCCTTTAAAGAATACATAAAGCTCTCATACAGAATTCTTTTAAACTCTTCTATATGCAGATGTCAGTATCTTTCACCTGACAATACCACTAGTTTTTTTCTTATGCATAGTAGAACATCTCATATTTTATAGTACCCATTTTATAAATAAATTGGCATTTTCCATCCCGTTTGTGTTTATCATCAGCTTCACAAAGAAACCAGTAAATAAAACTGTCAAGGACAGTCACAACAAAATGATCTCACATCAAGATATAAAACTTGAAGATACTAAAAGATGCTTCTACTCTATTTTACATAAAAAGACAGATTTAAAAAGTGCAAGGCAAGATTTGCAGGGAAAGGGAATATTTATGTTATTTTTAGGCACATCCACTTCTTTAAAGCAAGCTTCAGAATGAAATTCCAGTTCGTTCTTCATGATACCTGTTTTAAAGTCTCTCTCTCAAAAAAAAAAAATTAAAAAAAAAAAAATTAAAAAAAATTACATCTGTCAAATGTCAAGAAGGGAATTTCCTGTCCAACTAATAGTCTTCAGTTATGTCTTGTTCTTCCTTTTTTCATCCTTGCAGGTTTTGGTTTGGGAATATACTGATTGTTCGCCTGATACTCCAGTTCTTTACGGAAGTAATGAATTGCTTTATTCAAACCTTCTTCCAATGGGACCTGTTCCCAAAAGTGAGGAGAGAATTGTATCACTCTAGGTTCACATCAGCTTATTTCACAATAGTATCTTTTATAACACAGCTATCACAAGGGAAACAGGGAGTCTCACTCTTAGCCAATCTAAGTATTAACAGCACCACATGCTGGTTACATCTCCTCAGTGCTGATGCAGCTGAGCTTTTTAACCAGCACACATATTTTCTGACATAAGTTGAAAACCCCAGCAAATTTAAATCTCACACATGGTTATGATGGGCCTGTTTATTATCCAAACAGACATGCATAATTCTACTTTCAATTCCTAATGCATTGAAAGAGACCAACACAAAGCATTTAAGCCCCTTCTGTCTGTAAGGATTAAAGATCCTCTTTTGCAGCATGGTATAAAGTTGGCATTCAGTATCTCATTTGATATTCTTAAATCCGATACAAATAATTGTAATCCTACAAATTGCAGTGTTTAAATACAGGCATAAAATATGGAGACAGGAACAACAGAGGAGCTGTTTTCACAGGAGCCATATGCTCTGACATGCTTGCTTGACACCATCACCCATACAGGAAGATAAAACAGCAGTACAGAAACCGCTTGCCTTGCTGTACCAATTCTATACTGCTACTTCAGAACAAGTTTTGTTATGGGCTATGCCAAACACAGAAGGCCAGAAATACTAAAGTTAAACCTTGTGTGGTGATGATTCTGTATTTGCAACAATTTGCTATTACCCTTGTGCTGTCAGACACAGTCTATCAATATCATGTGCCTCTGTGAATCCTTTCAGAAGGGTCTGGATCTTTTTCTATTATTAGGCTTACGTTTACTACCTAGGTTCACATGTTTTCTGGAATGATTTTTGTCTGCAAATTTAAAAAATGCTACAAACCATTGTGCTAGTTATAATGGGGAGCTGGCTAAGAAAGTCACACTTTTTCTGGGAATTAGGCAGATCTTACCTCTCCTAGCAAACTAATTCCTATCGCTAGTGACAGGAATGAGGATTGTAGCAACACCAGCAGATCCATTAGCTACAAGCTTGGTAACGTAAGTAACTGTACCATATACTTCAAATGATTCATCAGGCTTACAGAAAGGTAAACATCTCATAATATGCAAGTGAAAAAGTTAAAATGTTAAAACTTTTCTGAAGATGGCATTAGGAATATATTCCAGTTACCATGTGGCCCTCCCTTAGCCCCCTCTGCCTCCTGGTGTTTTACCACACAGCAATAGTAATCCATCTGTACTTACCACAGGTTCCCAGCCAAGCAGTAACTTGGCTTTTCTGATGTCAGGTTTTCGTTTCTGAGGGTCATCCTGTGCTTCTGAGAGAAACTGGATTTCACTCCCACTGCCTATTAAAAAATACATTGTGATTTATCATCTGCAATTCACTATGCTTTGTATTTACACCTGTTCTACCAACTGGAGCAGCAGGTCTTTCTGCAGCTCCGTGCTTCATAATTCAACCACTGAAATACTTTGCACAGACACAGGTGCACTGTATGCAACAGCTGGGTGATGATCCACCTGTCCCACAGCAACATGGGCTCACAAAGCATTTCTCAAAGATTTGGGCTCACAAAGCATTTCTCAAAGATTTCAGCATGGATTCACAAAAATTAAGTTATGCTCACAGACCAGTCTACTAACCTTGCCTGTTTCAGTAGCTGAGGGCAGAGCAGTGGGTATCACCTGCTTTGACTTCAGGGATGCTTTTGCTGAGTGCTGGATGAGCAGTGAGAAGGACTGAAAACTGCATGGCCAGGCCCAGAGGGTGGTGATTAATTAGAGACTGGTAACTCGTGTTGTACCCCAAGGGTCAATGCTGGATCAATACTGAATAGCTGATACACCAGAGCACTGTGCTGCCATCCAGACCTCGAGAAAGGAGGCCGGATAAAGGGCTCACAGGAACCTCATAAAATTCAACAAGTTCAAAGTCCTGAATTTGGAGAAATACAGGCTGGGGCCAACCAGCTGGAATACAGCTTGGCAGGAAAGGACTGAGGGTCCTGGTGGGAACCAAGCTGAATACGAACCTGTCGCATGTGCTTGCCACAAAGAAGGCAAATGATATCTGGGCTGCAGAAGTGCTGCCAGCAGGACAAGGAAGATCAGCTTTGCAACTAATCAGCACTGATGAGATCCATATGGAGAAGTGGGTCCAGTTATAGGCTCCACAGCACAAGAGAGAAGGGGACATACAGAATGAGTCCAACAAAGGGACCGTGGTGATGATGAAGGGACCGGAGAGGCTGAAAGACCTGGGGCCCTTCAATGTGGAGAAGAAAAGGCTATGGGGAATTCAATCCCTGTGTACAAATAC